ACATCTCCACTTGCACATACAGAATAGCTTTTGCTGATCTGTACTAACAGCTAGACCTAGTTAGCACTTCCTTTCTGATATGCTTGTTTCTAGGACTATGTACAATAGGCTGAACCGGCAGCTTGAGCTGCAGATTCTGTTACCTAAGGCAGCAGCAGAACCTAGGAAAATGGCTGGACTAGGCCACATGCAGCAAATGTACACTGTTTAAAGCTCCACCTGTTCAGACTGTTTCAAGAAGCAGTAGTTTTCCTTGGAAAAGATTACTACAGCCATGTATTGGCAAGGGCTTGTGGCAAACAGCTATTTTGAATTGGTTTTGCATTCTTATTTCCTGGAACACAGGTGCAGAGATTAAATGAGTTCAAAAACAGGACACCAGGAAACAATGAAATTTTGTCCTTATTGCTAAGTAACACGTTGAGATCATTATTACACAAAAAGTGACTTTTGCTTGTTTCCCAGCAATTCAAGTGCTCTACAAGGAAGATGCTCAGGCACTACCAGTTCCAGAAATCCATGGAAGATGAGAACCTGGCAGACACATAGCACCATGAAGTACCCAAACTTGCATCTTATCTCAGTAATTTACTTACTGTCCCAACACTGTCTTACTGTCATGTGGTATTCCAGTGTTCAGTTCAACATGGCCTGAGGTTCCTTCAGCTTGAATCATGAGATATGCACTGAGAAGAATACTTCGTTATTAGCCCATGAGCTGCAAGCAGCCATCTCATTAGATGCTGTCATCAAAGCCCTGACCAAACCTTAGAACAAAGCAAGCAAGATCGATGTATGATCCAGGCAGAAAAAGAAAGTATACAGCTGTGCTGAGAGTGATTTTGAAAGCTGCTACTGCCAATGAGCATAAGCAAACAGAAGACATCTAGGGCTGTGCCTAAATATCCTAGGCCTGGTACTGATTGAGTTCCTTACTGACAAGAATAACTACGTAGGTGAACATCACAATTCTGTTTAGATTAACACAATGCTCTTTAAAGCATGTTATTACCCCATGTGGATTCAGAGATGGAGACATCTGACTGTGCTGTAATCATCTCTGCTTCAGTGTAAGGAGACATTCTCTCACCCTTGCCTTTTCACCAGTTAATCTGAAGCCAAATACTCACTTTTATCCTCATGTACATCACAAAGCAGACGGATGCCAATCACACATCAAGTTACAACTCAAGCTAAGTTCAAAAGCAATATAATATTGACAGTATCACTTTGCCTCTGCTCTCCGCTCAGCTGTAATGCTACCTGTCAGGTTTGTATAGTCTTCTCCAACAAACCTGACAGCAAGGAAAGTTCCAGAAACACCAGCCACTGATACCACCATTGATAGTTTACCAGGAAGAAATTCAGAGTCTGCTTAAAAGCTAGGTTTTTGCAACTGTTATCTACATAAGCCTTCTCAAAGTAGGTACCCTTTTCTGTTCACATTTGAGCTTCACAACAAAGGCCAAACATGGGATATTTGTCATCTACAGATTCTGAAAATTCCAGCTATACAAAACAGAATTAATCTCAGGTTCCCTTCAGTTCAACCATGTTAGACAGCAGTAGTCTTTTATATTTTAATTACTACACAGCAAAAAGTACGTTTGCCAACCCCAAAATAACCACATACAGCTCCAGTCATTTAATCTGACAGCTTCCACAGAATCATCGCAATATCTTCTTGGGCTTACCAAAAGATATGCCAGACAGGAACATTTCTCCATGTAAATATAGGCTGCCTCTCATCAGCTCCTACTTCTACCATCTTTTGGCAGAAACGCAGCAAACAGGATCTTCATCTTCAAGCAATCTTACAAAAAGGATGTATGCTATTAACAAAAACAACTTCCTTCCATAGACCTGAAGAACTTCCATCAGAGTTTCCCAGCCAAGTGCACAGCAATGCAATGCACTGGGATACTACAAGCCATGTCACACATACCTATTTGTTCCTCTCCGAACAGAGGACACAGTATAAACACAAACTGTCTTCATAAAAGGATGGGGAAGCTTGGTGACACCTAACAGCTGCACACTTGCACAGTGAACTAGATGCAAAAAGATGAACTCAAACTCCAGCAGCCACATATACTTGTGTATGTCCAAACACGGCCAACTGAATGCAATCCACTAGTGTAAGACATTTATACAGTGTTTTCAGTAAGTCTATTTCTACAGCATTTTATGGAACTAGATCAGATCAGTATTCAAGATATTAGAGTAGCATAATAACCACAACTATATGAAACATTTTCTTCTTTAAAGCAGCAAACAATTATGAATATTCCATGAATAGATATCATTAACCACTAGGAAGCATACAAAAAAGACCCCCCAAAATCATCACATAAAACCAAGAATCTCCTGTGAATCAACACAGAAGAGACCCAAGAAGCACTTCTTGGGACAGTATTTTCAATCAGATTAAAGCACACATTTCTCAAGTGATTGAGAATCATAAAATGCCCGCCAACCAAAAAGCAACGAGACAAGAGGTTATGCACCAAATTATACTCCGCTATGAAATCAGAAATACTACCCTCAAAGGGGTAGGGGGAACACACAAAAATACCCCGAAATGGTGTAACAGCTCATTTGAGAATCCTCCTGTAACTTCCCAGCACACTAACACTATGCTGTGTAGTGGCATTTTAGACTTGTATGGACAAGATGTTTACATAGAGGGAAATCTGTTAGCAATTAGACCACTCATGATTTCCACAGGAGGAGTTAATTTTATCTGAGTATAATTAGATTCACATTCCATTTTTTACCTCTTCCAGAATGGACAAATAGTAAAAATACTGGAGATCTGTATTAGCATGGTAAACATCAGCTGAAGCGGTGTGGAGAGTTCTGTTATGTATCTGATCCTCCTGGTTTACTTGTAGTATGCAATAATAGTATTTATAGTGATAACATTATTAAACCATTTTTTCCCCCTCAATATGATGGATGTTAGCAGACATCCCAACTCCCCAGAAGTCGAAACGGCGCTCAAATCCTTTACAAGTGATTGCTGCTATATAAACCCAGCAATTCTTCAGAATACCACCATCAGATCTGGCTTTCTAGCACTATAAAATAAACTAAGAACTTCCTATTTCTTTAGGACACACAAGAAGGCCTGAAGACTTTATTTTCCTTTTGACACAGCATTTGTAACACAAGTGAGCATGTTAGGTACTCACATAACATACAGTTTTACACCAGGACATTCATGATACATAGGACACTGTTCCAGAAACTAAGGAAAAATGGAAAAGTGTTAATCCAGATACTTAGTAATATGATGCTTCTTATAATAGAGGCTTGCACTTGGTAAAACCAAGCATTTTCAAAACCTGTAAAACCAAACCTCAAGTAAAGCAGTGACTCAGAGTAGGAAGTTAGCCTGTCAAGGTTTACAGAATACATTTCATCAATTACCTTGCCACAAACTGATGGTATTCTCACTTACACAACTCTCATCACTGATCTTCAATAACAAATGTCTTTGAGCAATACCAGAAGGAACCTACTTCATTTTATTTTATGTACTGGAACTCTGGTGCTTGCTTCAAGGTGAGGTAAATCAAACCACTGTTCAAAACCACAGATCAATCCAATATAAATCAATAAAATATATATGTTGTAAAGCTTGGGTTTGGTTTGGTTTTTTTTAATATGAAACTTCACACTTCTTGAGGAACAGTAAGGTATGTTAAAATAACCAGTCAGACTTCATTCAAATGAATTAGACAACTTTTACTAAATGAAAAAACCTACATTTAAAATACGCATTTAAAACAAAATGGAATTAGAAAAGAGACTTAAATCCATTTTAAAGAACTTGCTCACCGTGTCAGAAATCAATATATCTCTTGCATTATATAATGTGCCAGTTCATAAAACGTAAGTTACCAGAATCCTCAATTTAACATTTTCAAAGACAATACTGAAGTCAAGAGTTTTACATCTACTGACGCACATTTAGAATGGTATAAATCTGAAGCCTTCCCCCAAAGAATCTTACAAATTTGACAATATTCAATAAAAGCTTTTGCAGTTATGTCCAATAAGTATTGCATCCTAAAGCATCACAATTCTGTGCCTTTCATATATCCTACTATAAGTTTTCTGTCTTCTCTGTGTCTTGCCATTTGCCAATGTTAACTCTTTTGAGAAAGGAGAGAACTGGAAAGAAATACTGCATAACTCTTGATCATGTACAGAAATTATTGCTACTATAGTACACTACAAAGCAGAAGTTTATACAACAGTATATGAAATTTGATCATGAAAATCCAAAGGATATAATCTTTAGTGACATAAGCCTTATTATGTTGAACATTCCTACAGCATTTGCAGCTCACCACTTGTCAGCTAGCCTACTGTCCGTTGACGAACATCCATTTAAGCACACCCTCTTATGAAAAAGAATGTCAGCTTTCAAAGGCTTAGCAAATAAGGATCTTCATGTTCTGTGGAACTATGTAAGATGAACTTTGATGCAGGTAAGGAGTTACCTGGAAGCTAAGCATGCCAAAGGTGTTTCATGCTAATAAAACTAAAGCCAAGGTACCACATAATCAAGTTACCAACTAATAGGCAATACCATTTTTGTCCTACCTAAGTTAAATGAAGTGCCATAGCACAGTGTAACGTCAATAATTTAAAATAGTGTAGTGCACAAATTCATTGTGTGGCAGTTTAAGTTAAAAAGTCAAGACAGGGTTTTCTGTCTCAATATATGCTGGCTGTCAAGCTGTCCAGTCTGGGCTTTTTGGACTTAATTTGCCTTTTAATCACTACCATACTAGAAACTTCGCAGTGTAATGGGGCACACATTTGGGCAGCATTATTATTATGAACAACAGGGAACTAGGGGGAGGATAAGAGCCTTCCTTATTTCAATTTCAAAGAGAGAGCCAGGAAATAAGACTAGATACCATATTTGCATCATTCTAGCTACAAAATAACCAAAGTAAAAGCAATCAAGCAACAATAAGACCACATTACACAAATGGAACATCATGCTCTCATCTGGTTTAACTATTACATCAAGTTTTAACTGGGATGTTGGTCAACTTCAAAAACCGTGGTAAGTGTGAATATGTAGTTGCAATAGTTTTTTCCTAATTTTTTTTTTAACTCTATGCTGGATATTAGAACTTGGAGCTATACTTGTTACAATACAGTGTCGCACATCTTTCTACTAGAAAAAAAAATTAATAAAGATCCTTTACCCGTCTCTTTAAGTTAAACGTGTGACATCATAAAGGGTGTCAAATGGCTGGATGGTTTTACAGTGCACACATTATATACTGTAATATGGAGTTTTGTCCTTGACAGATCTGATGGTGTTTCTATGTTATTCCTTTCTTCACCTCTTCTTCGGTGGATTAGCTGTGCGAGGTGGAGTGACTGGACGCCCAGAATTCAGTCCACCATACTGGTACTTGGCTTTCTTTTCAGATGGTTTCAATATCTTGGAGAAAATAAAGAAGTTCTTTTGAGTCAGTGACAACTAGGAACATTTAAAATACTGTTAAGCCAACCAAATCTCATTGAGCTGAACATGGATGGGGAGGAAATTACATCATAAGCCTACAAATTTCTGAATCCTACATACAACAGAAATACTACTTCTAAATACTTCTTGTTCTACCACTACACTGGGGTGAGAAAGGGAAAGGGGCTGAAAACATGTCCAGGAAAGAATACAGACTAATACCTGATCAAAGTAACCACACCAGAAGGGTCTCACTAGTCCATTGGTCAGTGTAACTAAGGTAGTCTGATCACTAGGTGAGATTAAAAATTATCACCCAATTAAATTCTTAAATTAGCATCCAAATAGAGGGAGTAACTCCATATGCAGGAGTTTGGAAAACAACAAATCCCACATAGTTCTCTGGAGAACAGCTGGTTTGCAGTTTTAATCATGGACTGCTGTGCAGTCCTCTTCGTAGTTCAAGTATGCTACCTTAGACTAACCATAAGCACAATGAGCTGACTCAGTCCATACAGCCCAACACCTAATGCAATACTTAATGTACAAATGTATCATACCTGAAAGGAACACATCAGAGTTTCATCCACACTCATCATGCCCCCTGCATTGTCAAACTCTCCACAATAATTTGGAGCTGAGAATAGGGTGACCAACTGCCGTTTAGCAAAGAATTCATATCCATCTTCAACCACCTGTGAACACCACAGAAATCAATACAGCTCACATTAAAAAAAAAAAAAAAAGAAATACATTTTGAAGAAAAAAGCCAGTCCTGAGGCAAACAGGACTTATATTAAGGAGACTGCAAAAACTCATCAAAAAACTATTGTACGTCTTGGTATTTCAGTCATTTTGTCTCATCTGGACACTGAATGCCAAATCTGGTACCTTAACCTGTCTGACACTTCCAATGTTAAATATGCATCAATTTTTTCAGCGTTTTCATACCTGAAGTCTGATTATGCATTGTCATTTCAAAGATTCCCAGCATTTTATGGCTTATAACACAGAATTTGAATGTCTGACCTATTAGTTCAGAGCACACAGGATGTGGCTAACAACTTCACTGCAACTGTAACAGTTGAGTTTTACTTACAATGGATATTGTCTACACAAACCTTAGAATTTTGATGCTCTAAAAGCATAGTGGTTCTGCCATATTTTCTCTAAGAGCATAACTCATCTTTAAAATGTGCAAGGAGTATGACACATCAGCTAAGGATGTTCCCTCTTTCCTGAAATAGAAGCACCGCTTTAAAGTACTGAAACTAGTGCATCAAGTGCTCACTTTGGTCCAGTCAAGTCACCATTTGGTTCAGTCAAGTCACCATGGTCTTTTAAAGGATGTCATACTCCTATGAAGAGCTGAAGTGACTACATGAATACAAAAAATTGCTACCAATCTCGATCAGCAATTAATAAATCTTAATATCTTAAAATCTTAATATCTATTCCAGACACTAATTTTTTTTAGCAGTAGAATTGCAAGGAGAAATATTCAAGAGTTCCAACAGTATACCCAAGTCTAAGTGACACAGAATAAAAAGGAGAGAGCTTTCAAAATTGACTAAATAATGACACTGAAATGTTATACAGGAAATTGAAACCTGGTGTCCACCTAACTAGGACACTTGCTTAAAGTAACTTAATAAAAACAGCAAAAAAACCACTTAAATATTGATGATGCCAAAAATAACCTTGCTTTCTGCACATTTCAGAAATTCAAACAATATACGTCAAAGTATTCTAAATAGAGGAGTCAAAATGAAAGTAACGGTGAAATCTTTCATGTACAGACATGCTCATGGAAACATTCAAAACACATTTAATACTTCCATGAAGAGAAGCAGATAGTTTAAGCCACAACTACCAGAGAACTATTACTGAAACAGGCAACCCTGAAACTTCAGTGTCAATCTCAAATTCACTTTGTCACTTTAAACATGGACTTTACCTCTAACATTCATAAACAACACTAACTGGCAATACGAAAACCAGACATCAGTGTGAAAATCTAGTGTTAGCATTTTACTTCACTGACATTAAACAGTTAAATATAAATCAATAGAAGGACACAGGATTATAGTCCCTTTATGAGAAAGATATGCTTTTCCTAGAAGCAGCACAATGAGGAAGTTTAAAATATATTCTACTGACAAGCGGCAAAACCACATAAAATCTAGAAGGAGAATGTTTAAGAAGCAACAGCAGCATAATTCATACCTGGTGAGCTCGACAGATCAAATCCAGATCGTGACGATTCAGAAATTTACTGACCACATCAGCACCAAAAGTAAAAGAGACCCCGCGATCATTTTCGCCCCAACCTTGCACATCTTTGTCTGGGTCAGACCACAGTAGGTCACACAGCAAGCCTTTGAAAGATAACACAAGTGAAGATGGTAGTCTTAGAAGCTATCATGCTATAGTACAAAATAGTTTTATTGTATTTACCAGAGCAGCTCTCCTAAAGCAAATAAAGCCTTGGCAACAAATTCAGCAACACTTAAGCTGCAACTCAGACAAAAGATATGAACTGTGTAAGTCTGGAAATTTTTCTTCCTCATCTCACCATTGACAGTAACTTGAGATGAAATGAGTCAAATAGTTCTTTGCAATAGTATTTAATTGTAATATTCTGCATGTGTACAGTAAATATTTGAGGAATTTAGAAGTACTGCAGTGTGTTCACTTTAGAAGGCAACCATCAACTTCACAGCTCACCAAGAAAGCTTATTTGTAAAGCTGCAGTATATTTTAAAAACCTATGCAAGCCCAGTCACTAATACAACAAATAAATTTGTGTCACAAGCTTCTGAACATGGAACAGATTTGATTCTTCCCTTGCTTACCACAAAGAAGAACCTGACAAGACTTCATCAAAATATAACATGTCAGAATTCTGATAACACTTTCAGTTTGCTTGGAATACTGTTGGCTTTTCTAAAAGCCTCGTGCCAATCAGCCTGGAATCTAAATTAGAACAATAAACCCCTCTGCTATTTTAGCACTGGTCAAGATCTTTTTTCTGCTGCCAATATAAGGTCAGCTAAATCTGGAGTTAAAACTGCATACTAAAAAAAATTCTCCGTATCCACTCCAATGCATTTATACAAAGAACTTTCAAAGCATTTTCGCATGACAAAGAACCAGGCCAATTCAACTACAACACAAACCAAAAACCATTCAAAACGTATTTCACAGTTTTCCATTAAATTCTTTGCCTGCAATGACTATCCCACAGGCATTTAAATACTCCAGAGCATTGTTTCACAATGTGAAAGATGCCAGCAGGCTCCTTTATTTGGCACCAAGAAGATTTGATTTACAATTACATCTGGTTATTTGCTAAACAAAATGCTTAAGACACTATTTCTTAAATAACAAGTTGTAATGAAGCAAAGCTAGTATCTGAAACCTACTGTGCAACTAGACCATTCTGTATTTACATACAGCTATTAAAATGGTCTTCGGTGCCTGTCACAGCTCCTCTCTAGCAGAAGCTAAGATTTTATTTCCTTTCAGAAGACAAAGAACAGAGCAAATAAAACTGCATTTTACATACAATATCTAGAAATAAGCTACTGAACACAGGCAGCATATGACAAAAAACTTACTTTACTGAGATTTAGTTCTATATTGAGCAACATGTTTTTCAAAACAGAACAGTTACTCTGCAATCCCTAATGGTTTATCATGAATTTCCAACAACTGACAAGAAGCTGCTTGTCTTAGCTGCTTAGGAAGCACTTCCTCTTCTAATTCTCTCCCCCCCCAAATCAAATCACCTTTAGGGGTTATACACAGGAATAGAGAAACCTGTTCTATAATCTTCAGCAGCTGTGTAGCAGAATGCTGCCATAGCTCTGTCTAAACTAAACTATGCTGCTCAAGTAGGTTTATATTTTAACATGCAACACCATTGCAATAGCTTAGGCTGACCAGGAGCATACCACAACACAGCTGATACCAGACATTCAAGGTTACACAAAAGAGGGAGCTAGTTTCGTAATAGGAAAATGGTTGGCAACACTGATCAAAACATGATTTAAACCTTGGCTTCACAAAATGCAAATACTTAACAGTTAACAAAGGCAAGTGATTTAAGTTGGAATACAGAATCAGATTTGAGTGAACAGCTTCCAAATTCCATAAAAATGCCACCAAAATAAGAAGTATTTAAATTGAAGTTGATGTTTTTTACATCAGACTAGAATAAGGTATCATAATAAAATAGTCTTTGCAGCACAAGCCACACAAGCATCTACCAAGAATTTCTGCATCAACATACACATTCACCAAGTGACATCCCTCCACAAAGGGATAGCTTTTAAGGACAGCTTGAAACTGCCACATAAGTGAGACCACTTTGGTTTATTTTTCATTTTTCCATAAAACTTCAATCTGTAATGTCAGTTGTCTTAAATAGGTCCAAAAGGCCAGGACCTTCTATGCCTCTATACCATATGCACACATTTCTGAGGGGACATTTCATTTTACCTGCTGATTAAGTATCCAGCTATTTCTTCTGAAAGCAGAATTAAGCCTGCAAACCACTCCATGGACCAAAAACCTTCTTCCTTTTTTTTTTCCCCCTTTTTTTTCTTTGTTTTAATCTCTGCACTTATTTTTAGGAGGTACTAAGAATACGTATGATTTTAGTGGAGTGTCCATGGAAACCAGAACTACATTCTGCAAGGGCATTCCTGAAGTGGGGGTGGCTCAAGCAATAGTATTAGCCTGTTGAACAGAAGTACCTTTTCTCAGAGCTCTGATAACTGTAAAGACTGACTCATTTGTACTGACATTTACTTGGTTATGCATTTAATGCATAAGTAGCATAAAAGAACAATGTAGTAATTTATACTACAGAAACACTCATTCACTACTCTAGTAATGCTTCTCATTGTCAAGTGTGTATATACCATCTTGCACAGAAATGTTGCTGTTTAACAGGGACAGTAGATACATTAATATAGTCCCTGAGTTACTCCTATGCATCAGTACTGAGGAACATTACAGGAAGTAGAATTATTCTATTCCAAGGCTGAACTCTAATGGTAATTTGTCCTTCAAAAAAGCATTCAGATGGGGTATCTCCTCTGAAAGTTAATTTCAGGCCACTGTTGAAATCAATACTTCAAAAAACATTCCATTGTACAGCCTGTCAGTCTTTCTAATCCACTAGTAACAAAATCAGGAATAAAGGGGATTTGAGGAAGATTAATTAAACCATTCAGAACAACATTACACAGAAAGCACTGGTAATAGAAATCTCATCTGCAGTGAATTAGGAGCTATACTTTTCAAATTTATAGAGGAAGGAGACTTGCCCGAAGTAGGGAGAAGCCCGAATACTTGTAAGTAACACTCAGCAAGCTTTAAACAATTGCGTTCTTTAACAGACTAAGGTTTGGGTGAGCCTAACTAAGGTACAGAAAAAAGCTTAGCTGTTTAGCTTCATTTGATCTTTCTGTAAGTTTTTGGAGTTTGTTTTAAGGCAAAGTTGTGGATAACTTATCTGAACTTGAATAATGTATCCTACTTTGCTATGACAACATGAGCAATAGCATCTAACAGATCAGATAACTCAGCCATTATGAGGAACAAGACTCACGCCCTACAGAGACATGAAGGAATACTGTACTGGGAACAGAGTTTGCCTTAAGTCACCACATTACCTTTAGAGAAATTGACTGAGCCTGTTTCATCATTAAGACCCATTTACAGTAAATTCCATGTCACTCACCTGTGTCAGGAACATCTGTAGGTCTCATAATTCTCCTGATCTGTTCCATTGACTGGAGATCTGGAGACAGACCTGTAAGTACAAGAAAACAAGTGACTTATGTACATATTTTACCTGTAAAGAGTTCCAGAGAACATACATTTAGAGGTTCAAAGTCATACAGCATCCATTGTTTCCACTGTAATAGAAATAAAAGACAGTTTGCTATCAGACATTTAACGAACAGAAGGACAGAGAATAACACAAATGAAATTAGCAAGGGGTTTTAAAAGGGGTTTTAACCTTTCCTACCATGCTTTTAGTCACACAGCACAGAACTCTACAGTTAAGAACAATCTCTCAAACAGCTTACTAGAAATAACCACTGAAGAATAGCATTCCCATTATTTAACCCAATTATACTGAGTGCAGATAACATTCTTTACAACCACCTTACTTTATAAAATCTAAAGGAAAATCCCTTCAGTGTTTTACCACACAGCTGAGCAGCAGTCACTGGGTGCTGTAAGTGAATACTCGACTGTGAAACTACAACAGCTATGGAGCACAGAGGTAGTGATTATTTACTATAGCTCAGCTGCTTAGTCATTTATAAGACTGTAGGACCTTGATTACTCAAAAAAATAATTTATCAAAGACACAGCTCTTTCTGCATAGTTTTGCCATATTGACATGTAATTACAGTCAAAGCATGGAACTCCAAAGCCACCCTCCAAACAGTTTAAGTAAACACTCTACAGCTTTTCTACTTGAAGCATACAGGCATGAAAGACAGCCTATGAGATGTTCTAGCACCTTAACATGCTCTCAAATAAAGGTCTTAAAAGTGACTTAAAATTACTAGGCCAAAATAACCAAATGAAGAAAGCTGCAGATTTGAGATAAGAGCATGAAGGCCTAATTTGTGATGAAACATATTTCATATTAACAAATCATATCCATACTCAGTCCAGATCTTCGAACATCATAGAAAATATCTGCCATTGGAATGAGTCACTGTGTAAAATAATTTCAGCTGGCATCAAGAGTTCGTGCAGTGGCAGTGTATGTGTTACATACATTGAACGACCGCAATGCATTTGGTAAAGAGACTTGAACTTTTCTTTCCAAGTATTAAGATTTTAAATTTTTGTTGCTGTTGAAGCAGTCTTATAATAAAAGCGTTTACCCTCATGGGCTTGTTAAACTTGTCTTCACAATATTACCTTGAGGTTGTGAAAGATGGCACAAATCTTACATCAAATAGCATGTCAAAGGAGATTTAGTCAATCTACTCACACAATAATACACAGATAATAATATCGATTCAAGTAGATAATCAGACTTTAAGTTTTGACCGACCTACCACTTCCCCTTCCCCAGATCTGATCTATTTACATGCAGAGTACATTAGCACTAAGGTATGTGGATTCTACTCTGATTCTACTCAGCACCACACCCCAAGATAGTAAAGGACTATCTCAGTGAAATAAGCAACCAGTTTATGACCTTCCATGAAGTTACAGCTCTCAGTGTTCCAGGCGGCACCCAAAACGTGGAATTCTTTAAAAGAAAATACATTATTACAACCACATCTCAACTCTGCAGCTTGTTATTTTTTTTTGTGCTATTTTACATCAGTGCAAAATAGCAAAACCCCACAAAACTGCTGGCATGTTTGTAGGTCTTTTTGTAACCACCCAGGAGGTTGTCTTCTCCCAAACATCTTCCTAACTTCCCTTCCATAAAAAGAAATAGCTAATGTCTCAAATTCAGACTTACAGACACAAGTTGTAGATGATCAGCGTTAAACAAAGGAAATAAGAATGCAAACACAGGCTGCTAAAGCTCACTGTCACGCTGCTGCTACTACAGTCATTGCTGCAACCTACTGTGTACTGAAAGAAAACTGGAAATTGCACAAATGAATTAAGTTATCTTGTCACATGATGACAGCTAAGCACAGAAAAAGTATCTTTCAGTATACTATCTTCTTGAAGTGTAAGAGCACACCTTCCCTAAGGGAAATCAGAAAATGAACTGTCGTTACTCCTGACAGACTCAACAAATCCAGACTCTAGATTTGAACTGCTTCATGATCAGGTGGAATTGGTAAAAGTGATGGCTACTTATTTTTATAGTGTAATGCAGAAGGTCTCCTTGGATACTGTATAAAATTGTCAAGTAGACTTAACCTTCAACAGACATTTCACTGCCGTTAACGTCACAAGAACAGAATTCCAGAGCTTGAAAATATTACATAAATCCAGTATTCTACTCAACATGACTCCCATCTCAGAGCTTAAATCCAATGTGATATGAGCAGTGTATTCCATAAACATGACACTGCAACATGGACTTGGTTTATAAAACCTGAAATAACAAGGTCTCTAAAGATTAGAATAATAGAGTGGTATCATAGGTAGGAAGACAATATTGTATGGAATATAAAGCAGAGCAAAAGGGAGAAGTAGGGAATGGTAATGAAATAAGCTTTCATTAAAGCCAGATAAGGAGCCAAGTCGTAAGCTGAGAGGACAGACTTCAGAAAAGTCCAAACTATGACTTGTATGAGCAACGTATAAAGACAGGGAAGAGAGAGGGAGGTGATGGGAAGGGTACAGTGAAAAACCCTTTCAGCAGCATGACCATTTGGAGACAGGAGAGAAAGGTTTGACTTATACTGTGAGACAGAGAACTCGGAAGAGTAGATGCCCAGAAAGGTCTAGGCAAAACCAGCTGATTCAGTATTTTAAGCTGTATTTAAGCCTACTGGGGTAAGTTAGGTGCCTTTTATTTTACTATGTTATGCGGTTTTGCAAAGTTTTATTATATATCCCAGAGGACAATATTTTTAAAATAAACTATGCAAAAATGCGCAATATAGTAAAAAAGGCACCTACCTTATATCTACATGCTAGCTTCAACCTCCAGCAGACTTGCATGGTTTGTGCTGCTGCCTCAGTGTTTATTATAGTAGTAACATCATGAAAGGCGTTGACAGTCCATGACTTCATGGGATCTGGAATGCAGTTTGGATAGGATTGGAAAAGAGCGGAAAAAGGGCAAAACTGATTTGTGCGCTGCATGTCCACTTCCATTTATGAGGAGCACACAGCACATTTACCAATCTTATCACTTTATTTCACAGCTGCAGAGCAGTTGTGAGTGATAGTAATTTTAGTTACAGATTAAGCCTATACAAGCTGAAAGGATAATTAGTATTCAATAAAGCAACAAAATACTGCTTTGCTTAAGAGGATCCTTAAAGCATACTATGCACAAAACAGAAGTTTTCCTACCTGTTTACACAAGAGCTTAATACCCCAATACATTTATAATAAAGCTTTACTTTTTTTTTCTTGAAAATCAGCTTTCTAGACTTCCTGCTCACAACTCGGGTCTCAAGTACATATACATACAAAACAATCAATTTTGTTATAGAACGTAATACAACATAGCAGTCTACCTGCTAAACTTCCTTAGTAACCTTCTACCATCCACCTAAGCTTAATGGTTTGTCTGCAACACCACAGTATTTCATCATTCATTTTCTACTGTTCCTCAAATAAAAAAATAATTCAGAAAGTATAAAGACAGTAAAAGAAAACTCCTTCAACTTTTTTGAAAGCAAATTACACGGTTTTAGCCACTGACGATTTGCTATCTCAGTGCAGAAGTGACATTGTGTCTCATATTCTTAAAATCATGAGATGGCTCGTAAGTTAGGTACCAGTTCTTAAAAAAAAACAAGAGAAAAACCCCACCAAAACAAAGAAAAAACCCACCAAAAACCAAACCACCGAAAAAATCCCCAAATCCAAACAAACAAACAGAAAAACCCACCAAAAAGACAACAACAAAAAAAAGACACCAGTAATTACGACAGAGATGAAAAGATGACCTGTGAGAATACAAGTACTTTAACATGTCATTCCTACCTGGAGACTGACAGACTCAACTGTCTACCACTGCATTAGTTCATATTTACAGGACCTGACAACACCTCAGAGCACATTATGCTAAGACTGACATCTTATTCTAGAAAGTACTGAAGGCAGAAGCTTTCAGTACAAGATGCAAGAAAAGTCAGGATCATTTTTACAGTATTTTGGCCGGATGGCAGCCATCAATACAACCTTCACAAACTCTAGAAGAGTCTCAGGAATTTTGGGAGCACGCTATTTCCAATTCCAAGTGGAAATGTTCAAACTAGAGGTTTCCACGGAGCTCTCACTTCCACTGAGTGTTAATTATCTCACCAACAACACAGGTGTGACACCCACCAGACCATCTCTGATTGCTCAGTGCAAGGCATCAAGTTGCTTGTTAATGCAGTAGTTGCAAAGCCACCTGCAAAAAGGCAGGATGGCTCATACTACAATTTGAAATTCTTGTCAACTGTTTAACCCTGAAAGGTCCTGAAAACCTGTAAGCATCACTACCTGTAAAAACATGGGGAATCCCCTTCTACAAGCAAGAACACTCAGGTAAGTTCCAATATTCAGAAAAGTTACAAGCTTTGAGCAGATCCCAAATGCTTTTTTTCACTACAAGAACAGGGCAGCACTGGGACAGGTGCCCATAGAAAAAAGATTTTTCAACAGCAAAGGTTTAAAAAAGTCTTGGCTGAACTGCTATAATGTTAACAAACATCAGTCAAGTCTGCTGGTCAAAGACAATGTGACCTTAGCGGTCCCTTCCACCAATACCTCGTGAAACTAGCTGAAGAAGCCAAGGCCATAGAAGCTGGAGTTACTTGCTAAGGTTATTTCACTTCACTGCCAGCGATGAAAACATTAGCTAAAACGGTACTGTTGGATGATAACAGCAACAAGTGACTTGGCAAATTAGGCAAGAATTCTAGATTTCAGTACCCTTCAGAGAGGGATCTACTGAAGGGAATACCTACAGATGTATTTGCCCTGAGGCAGAGGGCCATGTGTATCAAGTAAGAATGACATCTGTCTGCTGCCAGGTGCAGGGAAAATCATAAGGCATAACAGTGACCTTTACAGAGCAATACAAGGTTAAACATCTCCAGCTAAATATCATGCACATCCACACTCCATTTGGTATAGCATTAACTCAAAGATCAGGTTAGACACTGCCTTTAAAAGCGGTCATCAGCTTACCTCCATGACAACAGAAGATCTTCTCATCCACAATGGCTGCAATAGGCAGGCAGTTAAAACAGTCTGTGAAGGTCTTCCACAGCTTAATGTTAAATCTCCTCTTGCCTACAAAAACAGCGTGACATTAGCAAGAGAAGGCTGTTTCGTCAAAGCCATCCTGCAATGTGCAATGTAACCTGAACAAAAATGTTAGCAACCTGTTTTCACAAGGGTTTATTTTTGTTACTGTACTTAGGTTTCAATCTCCTGCAACAGCATTTCAAGGACAACAGAAGGGCAAATAATTCTCTAGAGACTTTAAAATCTTTGTTTGAAATGTACTTTTACAAAGTTTCAAAGCAGGTTCGTAGAACACTGAAATCCTTCTAATACAAGAGCCACTACTAGAAGTGTCTCCAAAACACAATATTAGTCTCATACACTGTTTCAGAAGAAATAGGTTTTGCTTACATTCATCATAGAATCCATAGATCCGATTGATGCTAGCACACTCATGATTTCCTCTTAAGAGAAAGAAATTTTCCGGGTACTTAATTTTATATGCCAGTAATAAGCAAATTGTTTCCAGAGACTGTTTGCCTCTGTCTACATAATCTCCCAGGAAAAGGTAATTAGCTTCTGGTGGGAATCCTCCATATTCAAATAATCGAAGCAAGTCTGTATACTGACCATGAATATCACCTGAACAAAAAACAAAACAAACACGTTTACCAAGGGTTAGTGCAACAACATAAAGAGTACACAAATCAAGAACTTAAGTCAGCTAATCACTTTTTATTAACCAATGTTAAAAACAGCATTAATAATTAAAAAAAAAACCAGACTGTTTCATATACAGGCAAGAGGTATCAGAAAAATGAGAGCCATGCTAACATTATAAACTAAAGTAGTCACTAAATGTAAATATCCCACATAATTTGCAGAATTTCTATCTCAGTTATGAAGCCAATCTAAAAACCAAAAACTGCAGAAGTCTTCATAATTAAGCATAAGCTTTCTAACCAAGCTCTAATTTGTTCAAATTGAAACAAGGTCAGAATCAAGCAGAAACATGGCCAGGAAGAATACAGGTAGGCTGGTGAGAAACTGAACACTGTGCTGGCAGAGCATCCCTTCCTCAAAGGACTACTTGTCCTCTCATAACACTGCTGTAACTAAGATTCCCATCCCGCAGCATTTGGGCTAACTCCTCCTTTGATGCAATCCTTCATATAAAAACAATACAGAGACTCCAAGACTGATTCCCTTACAAGACATTCATCCCTGCAGGTATTCCATATTAGGAAAAATAACTGTCACGTTCCTCAGCATACTGCCAGCTTCCAAATTTAACAGGCTTACAATGAAAGAACTCTGTGGGGCAACTACAACACGACTGCATATCAGACTAGCCAAAGTTAACTGTGAGCTGACTGTAAGGTCTAAGAAAATACCAAAGCTACTGCTCTACAGTAACTTGCAAAATACCTGTGATGTATTCCAGGTGACTGTAGAGTTCACTAGCAAAGTGACTGAACGCAAAAAAGCTATGCAAGAAGCCTTCAGTACAGGCTGTATGCTATTTAAATTTAGTACCTCCTGGTCCATTACACTAAGTACTTCTGCTGCTTGTTCAGTGGCAAAATCCCGACTTTGTTAAGCTCAGCTGTTCTCCAGTAAAATGGGAACTACTGTGGCCTTAAAAAAAGCAAAAATCCCAACATACACTCCTCCCTAAAACTTCTTCCATAAAGGAAAAAGGTTCCCAAACCCTTATGCTCTTTAGTTCAAGTCTTAAGACATACAATGGTAGAAGAGTACACAGCTCTATTCCTCTTTACTCTTCCATGAGAAATGCAATACTTTCCTTTTAGGCAGCATTCTTCCATTAGCTATTTCTCACTTAGGAATCACTTCCCAGTTTTCTTCTAATAGTAGTTAACCTTATCTGCTGCCCAATTCCAGACACAACCTGAAGTTTCACTGGCTAAAATAATGTTCACATAATTTGCAACAAAAATGATTCCTGTTCTAATTTGTATTTAGAAACCTCCGGGTCACAGCCGAAAGAAAACACTGATGACTCCTCATTGCTACACTGAGTCTAACAGTCTAGAACTACACTATTAATACATTCCCTGGACTTTACCACCACCAGAATTAACTACCAAGTAACATATTACACAAAGAATACTATAATTGCTTTCGTTGTCTAGAACTTTTCAGCTGCACACAAGGCAGAGGGACCAAAACACTTAAAGGCTAAAGGAACATTTTACAGAAAGAATTCTGTAAATAGAGCAGTATTTACTATTCCATTCAAGGCACTTGTCATTTTAAAATACAGCTGCATATGGGCACAAGTTGCATTGAAATCCACCAGATCCAAAGCGTTTCAGTAGAAACCACACCTATTTTAAAATGGACGTTTACTTTCATCTTACAGTGAAACACAGTCATTCAAGCTGTAAAAGCTTATTTTGAACTGACTCGATTACAAGACAAGACAAACCTATAATGATTCCTCAGGCATTGCCTGAACACACTAAAATAGTACTTCAAAGCCGTGCAGCTGCATATTTTGCTTCTGGTGAAAGTGATCGTCTTTCTTTTACTTTCATCTAGACACACAGTTGACAATCGCTCTAATATTAAATTTAGATGCACCTGACACTTCCTGGTGCTATCACTGTGTTCAGAATCCAACTTAAATGTAACAAATGCCTTATTTAATGTGCATTTGCTACACTATTATTGTGTACCTAACAGTCCTTTTGACTGTCTCAGTGTAAACAAATGATAAGCTTTGAAGGAGGCTAATTATACTTTGACTTATGTGCAAATACCTGATTATTTTTCTCTTTAGGAATACGATGAGACTACTGTAGTCTTTTCAGTGTAGAACAAAACACGATGTGGGGTAAAGCTATATTTTACCTTTAACTTTGTAAATTAGGCAAGCTGTCTAGTTTTTCCTCCCCACCCTATCAAGCAATTAGTCATTTAAAAATGACTGCCACTAGTGGAGGGCGGTTGGTTTTGGGGGTTTTTTGGGTTTTGTTTTTTTTAAATTGGTAATATCCTCTCTTAATGTAAGAAACATTGCTACACTAGGTCTGCCAGGAGGAAGCCTGGGAAGAAGCTAACCCATCTTTCAGCACGTTAGTAATAATCAATGCAAAGACTGCTTTAATTTTAATACTATGACACTTTAAAAAGCCTAATTCAAGAGATTTTATGCTTTCTAAGACTGTCTACTGTTAATAAGGATGATTACCAGCCAGTATTTACAATACTTTTGTAACACTTTTAAGCTTGTGTACCTATTAACAGCAGTGTACTTCTTCAGAAGTGTACAAGGGAGAGGCTGCAAAATCTGCAGCAGGTAAGGGCACAAGCAGCTCTTGCTGCCGATGGAACTTGCTCCTAAATAGCATCAGTAACCTACCGTTAGCTGCCTTTTCTCGACTTAATCCAATCAAAACGCAAAATTACATTTAAGATTGTGAAGCCCTCACTCTAATCTGTATCACCCAGGTCAAGGTCACTTGCCTTTCTCAGTATCCTTCCAACCCACCTAGCATACAACTAGATTAAAACACCGACATAAACCACTCAGATACAAAGTTTACATACCACATATTTTCAGAGGTGCCTCTAGTTCCAGGAGAATAGGCTGGCTAAGAAATATTTCCCGTGACTTTATGCACAAACCCCGAACTTCTGCTTCGGTCATCTGAACAATCTTCCCAGGGCGACATCCTCGTACTGAAATGAGAAGTTTAACAATTGAAGATAACTATCACACAGCAATAGGTAAGTGCAGACGAGCTGTATTTAAAATCTGTACTTGTCAAAAAGCCAGCAGCCCACTCCAGCATATCTACCAATTGTGTTGGAATTATGTATTCCAATGAATTCTAGAATTAATCTCTGTGCTACTGTAACCTACTCTGTAAGGTCAGTATGCATTCCTCTTAAATCAGGTTCTCAGAAGAGAGCCATTTAAGCCTCGCTTTTGTCCATATTTGGACAAAAGCAACTTCAAAATGTGTTTAAATTAACAATCCCATTACACCAGAATATTTGTAATAGGCAAAAAATCCTAAGACTCAAAATCCTGAAAGCACTTTTACATTAGCCCAAAAGAAACTTCTTCAGGACTGCTGAGTTCAACAGGGCTAGCTAAATGCAAAGAAAAACCACTGGCATGTATACACTTCAGGCAGCTGCAACTGCCATATTAGAAACATCCCACTAAAAACTATGAAAGTCTGATGAAACCTTCATTCATATGTAATGGCTCTTGAGTTACTGGAACCTTTACGTCCAAAGACATTCTAATTAGAATTAAATTGAATTGCTAAACCAATAAGCCAGGTACTCTGGCCTATATTTAGCACCAAGTTTTCAAAAGCATTCACATGTCATTGCACTCCAACCAACATCATCTGGCAAGTTTATTTGCAGCTGCTTCTTTCAACAAATACCTATATGATTCCTCTGTCAGAGGCTTTTAAGGTGTCTTTAATGAGGCAGCAAAAGAGAACAAATTCATCTGCACTTTGGCTGATCCAGTTCAGTCTCACATCTCAGCATAAACCAAACTTCAGAGCTCAAATGAATAAGCCAGAATGTATCAGCGTCTACAACAGGTGAACATCCTGTTCTGCCATCTGCTTTACACAGAAGCATTAAATCACAGCAGTACCTACAAGAGAAGCTGGTACAGAACTTCAGAAGTTCAAATGCAAATGCTTTCACAAATGCAAACATAGTAACATATTACTACTAAAAAACTTTATCTGCAACAGCAGGAAGTCTAATAAGATACATTTGTGAACAGAATACCAAAAACTAGTTCTTCACACATAAAGTTCCTGGTTTTTCCTCTCCAAAACAAAAAAAAGTAAGCTTGCAACTTTTTTTTTAATTAATATAACCCCCTTTTTATTTTCACTTAGCTTCCAGAAAACACACTTTAGAGAGGAGATTGGTATCATTAAATGCATTATGTAATGGAAAGAAAAAAAGGGTATGAGGGGAAACATTTTGTCCTAGGTCACCCTGTACTACAGTCCTAAGTGTTAAACTCAAAAAACTCTGCTCTGGTTATCACTGCATACTTCTCCCAGTGTACATCTGATCATTCCAACACTGTGCTATGCATTTTCATTTATTTTTAATAAACACCAGACATACTTGTTAAACTGAGGTTGGGAAGCAGCCACAGGAACATGTGAAGAGGCTGAAATGAAGAACAGTTTTCACAATCACGGAAGAGATGTGAAACTAGATCCTGGGACAGCTAGTTTGAGTGCCAAAATTGCAGGAGGGATTGTCTGCTGCGAGCATATACTGGAAATACTTTGCTCATTAGAATCCCACAAGAATAAGGCTGTGGCATAGGACTTCTATAAGTGAAACTCTGAATCAGTACCAGGTGATATTTACCATATGGTAAGTCACATTCCTTTTGCTAATTAAGATTTCAGCTACACTTGAGAAAGCAAACAGCTGAACAGCTTCTTAGTTACACTTTTGCTGGTGTTTTTCATGCATTCAAATTTTGGCTTACTTGTTAGAAGAACACAAAGGCAGACAGACACCATCAAGGTGAATAGGAAACAATAGATGCCTACAGGCTTTCATCACATCTCAAACATCTACCAAGATTATAGATACATCTTCAGCCCCATGGCAATTACTAGTTTAAAAAAGTAGTTTCTCAGGCCTGCAGTTCTGCACAGGACTGACTACCCAATTTGTGAGGTACCAAAATGCTCCCATCACCGCCTTTTAAAACACTTGCATTCCTGGAGCTTATAAGGATCCCTTTCAGAGACCAGAAACTCATTTTGATAGGCACAATAAACTGTTGCTATGCACAATAGAACTCCCACCTGAAAGAGCAGAGTCTAAATACCAGTGGCTATAATTCTGAAACAATTGTTAATTAAAACAGCAAGGTCACACTGAAGCAGCATGCAGCTCAACTATCTTTTCAGTCCCATTTTTCCTCTACAAACTGATTCCTTTTAGCCTGTTTTGATACGCAATGAAATCCTCCTCTGTAATTAACTACCATCATGTTTCATAGCACCAGAATGAAGCCATTTCACACACATGAAAACCAAGAAGTGACATAACGGCACACCTTTTACATCCACTCATCCACTGTAGTTTCAGAGCTCAAACCCACAAGTGCCCTCCATACACAATATTAATGCTACTGTAAGTAGCACTAGAGCAAGAACAGTGCCTAAAATCGAGACAACAGTTCAAGGAGAGCACTGATAACACTTAAAATAACTTTGTTTTAATCAGTATTTCTTAGAACACCAGCCTTTAGCTCCCTCTGAAACTCACATGGAGGTTTAAACTTGGAAAACTTGCTTTATAGGATTGAGGCTGGATTTTTGCATTAGAAGGCACAGTGCACATGCAGCTCCTGACTTTAAAATTAACTGCCATAGTCAGTATATCCATCATCTTGATGTTTGTTCTCTTCTTTCTGCAGTACAGCCTTAACTGCTGCAAGCCCTTAACAGACAAACCAACAAACAGGACAGTAACTTGTTAGCACGCTCTGGATTCTCCAGATAAGAGACATTTCTACAATTATGGGAAGCATGTCACACTCTGAAGAGAAGATAACAAACACCTAATGACTGCAGTTACTTCCAGCCCTTGAGAAGTAGGATACAAATGTGGGCCACTCAACTTTGCAAAGGCACCCTCCATCTGAACAGTCAACAGCTCCACATAGCAAACACATGACCTCAGTTACATGTGAAACAGTACAAAGCCTGGGCTTTCATGAGGAGTAATCATCAATGATATGAGAAAAACGTTTTTTTTTCCCCACAATCCCTGATCATCAAGAAGGGCACTACATGTTGCAAAAATGGCAAGCTACCATGACCCTGGAAGCCTCAGAACTTTACTGGATTTAAAAGGCACTGAAAGGTGCCCGCGTAGTCAGGCAGAACAGCTGTGCCACAGCTGTGACACAAGTACACAAGCAAGACTAAGCACATCTTTCACCAGCTTACACTTACACCACCACAAGAATTTTGCTCCAGTTGCCTTGACTTGGCTGAGCACTGTATGGATTGTACACAAGAGCATCTGTCATCACATTTAGCTTTTCAAATGCCAAGAACAGATTTAAGAGGAAGTTATGAGAATGGGATCAAGAGCATACATTATGTTTCTCAGACTCACGTACGAAATTCCTATAGCTAATCATTCTTAAAACACGGAAGTCACAGCTGCATACACTGTAACAACTGTAACTCGACGCAAGCTTTTAACAGCACTGCGAAAAAACATCATTTTCAATTGTTCTCATTTATCTGAAGCACAAACAGCATCTCAACAATAAATGTAAATTAATTCTCTTTAGTTTAAGATGCTCTAAACAAGCTTTGATTTACATAAAGGTCTTCAGCAGGGACAGCAATTCCTGTTGTAATACACAATCCTACACGCATAGTGCTATGCCGCAAGAAGCCTTTGCTGCAAGGACATTAAGCACAGTGACATAGAAGAGAATAAAGAGAATTAAAAACAACTTTATGCCTTGTTGCATATCAGGCTATTATTTTAGCACAACAGTAATAGTAATCTAAATGCTGCTCTAATCGATACTAAAATGGTGTCTGCATTTACACAACCTCTGATAAACAACATTAGCAAGTCTATTAATGGCAATTAGTAATCCAAAACATGAGTTGCACAGCAGCAGCAAAGAAAAAAATTCAGCAAAAATAACTGCATTTTTTTAATCCTTCCAAATTCATGCCAGAGAGTAGCAGATTATGTAAGACAGTACCAGAAAGAAAATAAGTAACATTAAGTGAAGTGGGTCAAGAACTGGCTGTTGGAAGTTCTGCAAGCATCACTTTTTGCCATATCTTCTCATGAACTGGAGAAAATACATTTAACCTATTCTGTCATGCTTGTTTCTGCTGTGCCTCTCACTCCAAGTAACCAAGCTCCTTATGTTGTGGCATCACTGATAGAAGTTTCTTCAACTACTGAGTCAGCTGTGGTACACACAGCTGCCTTAAGCATTTATCCTGTGTTCTCCAATACCACACTTGTGCTGATTACTGGACAAAAGACTCACGGTTTTAACATAACATTAAACCCCAGACAGACTTCTAAGTCTCAAAAAATGAGGCCAGTATTATTGCGAGGAAGCAGCCTCCTTTTCCTACACTCTGCTGTTTTGCAGGCATATGTACTTATGTGGCCACACAGTAAACTGCATCCGTGAACTGATCTCTTTTTAGTACAAGGACACAGCAAAACAAAAATGTAATCTAGATAGCTCCCCAAGCTGGAGAATACATCCACTGTGAACTTGTGCTGGGACTAGTGAAGGAATAAGCAGCTGGTTCTGATTCTTTTCACTGTAGTTCCAGCCAAGCTCACTTCTGAAATGATGGCTTTAGACATCTGTTTTGCCAGAGTATATCTAAAAAGAAAACCAAACCCCAAACTACAACACAAGACTGCAAGCATGCAATTTTACAAATTGCATATAAGCAAATCCCACAAGCTTACACTCCCCCTGACATTCTGTGGAATGTTTAATGATTGGTGATTAACAACTATGACATTTAACTATTTATTTCTGGTACTTCAAAGTACTTTGGAGTACTTGATGGATCCTGAACCATTTTTCAATAGTAGGCGCAGAATGGATTTGGAAGCCAAAGGGGCATTACCCATGACTTGGAAACAAACAAACAGTCCTT